TCAGGTTTGTTTGTATAATTTCCAACTCTCACACTGACTGTGACGTTGAGAAATTTTCTTATCCATTATCCACCTACCGTGGTCATGTTAAACTTTTGAGCTCCGTTAGTCTAATCGCTCTGCACAAAAAATACCAAAAAATCCAATTCTCCTTCGCTAGTTCGCGTGGTATTTCACAGCTTGTGATTCTACACGGGCTCTCTGCTGACATCCGCACAACCACTGAAAGAGTTCACGAAAAACAATAAACCGCAACCCTAAATAACCCTCAGAAAATCTCCCTCATCTCACGTCTGATATAAACCAGAAATGTCCTTCTCCCTTACTTGACTCTACCTAATAGTACAGTAGCTGATACTTCCGCCAGTATCACAGAAGCATTCAATTTGTTGTTCACTTCCTCCGTGACCTTCCACTCTGACAGTGGTGAATCGCCAATCGTGCCCCTAACCTCACACACCTTGTCCAGTATGGAATTTTCTCTACACGACGTGAATACTGAGTTTCTGAAAATAAAACCTGTCTTCAAATCTTGCAGCGATGGAATCCCACCAGCGCTGCTGCGTCTCGGTGGTCCCGACGTTGTCCTCTTATTTATGAACGTCTTCAATCTTTTGCTGAAATATGGAACCGTTTCATCTCAATGGAAGACTTCTGTCATTACCTCTTGCCATAAGAGAGGTCCTCGTAATGACCCTTCTAACTTCCGTCTCGTCAATCATACCTCAGTTATTTTGAGGCTCTTTGAGCGCCTTGTCCAATCGCGACTGTCTGATTACCTGATGTCCCTCAACCTTATCCATAACAGCCAACATGGCTTCCTCAAAAATAAACCTTGCATCATCTGCCAACTAGATTATCTCAATACGATCACTAAAGCTGCTGTCCCTCGGAAAATTATCATTGTTAATTTCTTAGATATGGTCAACGCCTTTGATCGCGTCCCCCACCTTCTCCTTCTAAATGAACTGAAAGCCTATGGGCTTACTGACCCAATTCTAAGTTGGTTTGCCTCCTATCTATCTCATCGCCAGCAAGTGATGAGTATCGATGGTCATAACTCCCAATCTTGTCTGGTCACTAGCGGGGTTATTCAAGGAAGTGTGCTTGGCCCTCTTTTATTCCTCATGTATGTTAATGATGTTTTTTCCATAATACGCCGCGGAACTCCATTCCTGTTTGCTGATGACATACAAGTTGTCCACGACTTTAGGCAGACTGAAACAAATGATGTCATCCACTATATACAAGAGGACCTACATAGTCTCGAGCAATGGTGTTCTGCTTCGAAGATGGAGTTTTCTCTTAATAAATGCACTTTTAGGACTATGCGGTGTGAGGTCCCTCCAAATTTGTTCCTTCTTCATGGCTCACCAATTATTCACAACCCATTCATACGTGATCTTGGCTTGCATTACTCCTCGTCCCTCAACTTCTATGAGCATATCTCCTTCACAGTTGCCAAGAAACGGAAAAATATCAGCTTTCTCACAAAGTCTCTTATACTACTCGAGGCTAAACTCCTATCTTACCTATCCTTCGTAAGACCATCCCTCGAATACTGCCCCATCATCTTCACAAATATCCGTACAACTGACAGGTCAAAATTGGAAAAATTCCAACGCAAATTTATCAAACAATTACTGGCCTTTTCGACCCAACTGTGTTACCAGGAACGTTGGGCCCTACTCAAACTCGAGTCAGTGCGGGCTCCGACGTATAAGACTTATTCTCTGTTTCTTTCACCGGCTTATGCATCGCACACCGATTCCCTCTGATTTCCCACGCCTATCCACATGTACAATCTAATCCCTACGTCAAAATAACTCGCGCCTCATCATCCCAAATTACAAGACAGCACTCAGTCTTTCTCATAAAATATGTTAGATTATGGAGCAGATTACCTCCACATTTATTTAACTGTAATTCCCACTTCCGATTCAAAGTAATATTTGGCCGCTACTTCAGTGTCGAAAAGGCCACACATCTGAATAACAATGAGCTTCACATCTCAACTGCTTTTGAAAATGCATCCGATTATTAAATATGAAAAACAGTAGATATATTCACGAACGCAGGTGAAACTCAAACGCACAAATAGCTTACACAATCCTCGACTATATTAAGTTTCTCCAGTTTAAAAATTATAGAAGTGGAATGGAAAACCTATCAGTACACGGACTCAGGTCAGAAGCGGAATATGTAGAACAGAATGGACTTTGGTACATGCTTTTATAAGTCTTAGAAGCAAAGAATTCTTATTTCATATCCATTAGATCTCGTTTTCATCTGACTCAACTGGCCCACCTCCATGGCACACGCTAAGCAGGGAGCAGTGTCCACTTCCTCAACCAATTCCATATAAGTACACAGATCTAGCTTCGAAGCTTGATCTGTGGAACACAGTCTACTTTGGAACATACTCTTATAAGTATTGTGACCCACAATTTGTTGATTCATATCTGTCACATTTTGTTTTCGTCTAACTCAATTGGCTCAACTCCGTGGCGCATGCTAACCAGGTAGCAGTGTCCATTTTCTCAACTGATGTTCTACCAATACACGTATCCGCCTACATATTGGATCTGTAGAGCAAGACATTTTGATAACATCCTTTTACCTGTATTATGACCTAAGCACCCACGCCCATTAGATTTTGTCGTTAGCTTCCTACTATTCATCTCCCCAATCCCTTCTCAGCTGGATATTACCCCAGACTGCCGATGTACGCCTTCCTATTCTAGGTTCGGTTGGTTTGGGTCTAACGGAGGCTTGGGGTCCACACCCGCAATGGACAGTTTGGCACGGGCAATGGTTGTTGGGCGCGGCTGTATCCACCGCTTTGACTACATGCGTCCGCATTCCGGACCAGGGTGGGGAACGCACCCCCTGCCTCACCTACAAGGTGTTTTAGGGTTGGGTGCCTAGCGTGTAGTCAGTCCCGCATCAAATCGACCAACGCCTAAATAACGTAAATAACCCAAATCAATCCATTGCTGATCGGAGCCCCTGAAACCATTGATCAAGACCCTACAGAACTCATCTGTTTCACTACGTGCAGTGCATATTTTTCTATGACAGTTTCACTCTGTTCTGCTTCATCCTATCCGCTCTCGTGTCGGTTTCCGTCCATTCCCATCCAACAATCTGCAGGCCGCCTCTCATTATTTTACTCACTGCCGTATTTCCAGTCATCTCATCTTTCATCCGGTATAACGATTCTTGTATTTCGTCCTACTTCCATCGACTTGCTCTTTTAGAGCATTCCGCCATCCTGAACCGTTTACTCTGATACCTTGTCCACTTTGTGTTCCATTTGTAATTATGTTCACTGCGACCTTTAACTTTTCCTTTTGGGCTTCTCCTATACGAATGATTGTGTTGTACATCTGATAATGCCTGGGCATGCTTCACGGGGCTCCGTGAAATATACGCTTATTAGTATTATTTTTCTGTTTCCTAACCTAGAATCCCCAGTGTCTGCATTTCCATTTCCAGAAGATGATGACTGACGGAGTCGAAAGCTTTGCTGAACTCTTGGTAGCAAACCTCCACCCGGCGCCCTGCGTCTATTCTTTTTGTCACTTCATCTAGAAATTCCAGCAGGTTGGTCAGGCACGATCTTTTCTCAAGGAATCCATGCTGGGCTTGAATGAAAAGCCCCTACGCCACCAGATAGGAACATATCTGTTTCCTAACGATCCGCTCAAGACACATGCAGAAGGCCGAGGTCAAACTTACCGACCTATAGTGGCAAACGTGGTGTATAGGGCCTGATTTGTTGATGTTCACTACAGTTGCAGTTTTTCAGACTTCAGGGAGCCTGCAAGTACCGATGCACCCCTTGAATAACTAAGTCAACGGTCCAACTAATGCATCTGCCAGAGGCTGAATCACGGCGGGTTGCAATCCACCCGGTCCTACTGATTTGTGCCTATTTAAGACGTTCACATCTCGGACCAAGTCGATTTCACGGAGGCTAAACTCCGTGAAATGCTCCCTTGTTCTAACCAGGCTGCAGTCTACAGTCTGTCCTGTTGTAGGTGGCTGATAATTTTCCGTGAAAAACGTCAGGAGTGCATTTGCCTTTTCTTGGTCGGTGGTGACCATTACGCCTTCCGTTACCCCCACTGTACCTACTCTCTGTTTAGTACTCTTGTTTGCCTGTACATATGAATAAAACCTATTCAGATTATGCCTTACGTTTTGCACTAACGTTTTCTCATTTTCATACTCCGCCTCCCTTTGAAGGGATTGTGCTCTATTGCGTGTTGTCTTGTAGATCGACCACGCATCGGCAGTCCGTTACGCCCTGAAACGGGCCCAGCCTCTCCTCCGGTCTACTAGTGCCCGATCTTACTGTGGCTTCCTCCAAGCTGGTCGTTGCCTATTACCCCTGGGTTTGAAGGGTGCAAACCTTTCGGTCAGTCTAAGCATCCCTCGTCTCGGGAGCTAGTGGCACCTAATCTGTGTTTTTTGCGGCGTCTTATAGGGCAGCAATGTTTATACGGCTAAAGCACCGTTTACGTGGGGCAGCCGGTTCGCTGTTTCATGGGAAATACTACCCTAAGTCCCCCATGATCACTCTTACCCAGTGGATTTTCCACTGCTACCTCACTTATGTCCAATAAATACCGCGTTTTAACTTATTCTAGGACAGAGAACTTGTGTTGGTTGCTGAACCTTGTGGCCTTCATGGTATACTGAATGAGAGCATGCTCATGTAGACATGTTAGAAAGCTTTCTCCTTTAGCCCCAACGGGGGCCTCACCCTCTACTCAACAGATCTCCGGAAAATTGAAATCACCCAGAATTAAGATCGTTTGGGTCCTCGATATGAATTTCTGCATTGTAGCAAGTAGTTCCATATCTTCTGTGGGTTCCACCTGGGGTGCGCGATCGACTAGTATCACTCCTAACGGTCGTCTTCCCAAACGGATACTACACGCCTTGGCCTGAATATTAGGTGTTCCCAGTTTTACGGGTGAGTCCCATTGGGTTTAAGCGGCTTTGACTAGCAGAAGTACTCCTCCGCCTTGTCTTCCGTCCACTAAATCTTGTTTATAAGTCGAGTACTCGCTGGGCTTCTCTACATCCTGCTCATGCCGGATCCAAGTTTCAGTGATAGCTATTATCACCGAGTTTTGGGTTGGCGTCGCCAACTCTTCCCATTTGTCCCTAACACTGAAGGTGTTAGTGTACCACACTGTGACGGTGTCCACATCCGCCTTCATATAACTCTTCTCTCTTGCTTGGGATGGATCCTCGGACGTAAAGTCCGAAGAACTATTACGTTTTTTGATACCATATTTGCGGGTACCGGGCGATCCGGCTCCGTGAACGACCAGGCTATACCCCCCATAGACTTCGTTGTCTTTGAGGGTTAACCTAAATTCTTCACCGAGTCTTTCCGTGGGCACCCGCTGCCTTATGAGCAGGGATATTGTCCTACTCAGAGGGGAATATCCTTGATATTCCTTGCTATCACCGTGGCCGAACTAATGGACGCACCTCTAATTGCAAAATCCCCTGGAAAAAATACTCAATCAAGAATGACTCAAGCCTGCGTTACAACGGGACCAAAAATTCCCAAAAAGTAAAACTGGGCGACCAGTTGGGTAGATTGTACAATACAACGACTGAGAAAAAGCGTATAAAATGTCTACTGATATTTCCCCTTAACTATATGACACTTTGAAGCTACGGCCCTCTTGAGGTCACAAAACGAAACGAATAGTGAAAGTATATATTTCACTATATATAGTTTGAAATCTCTATTGGTATTTCACAATTAGCTGAGTAAACATACTTTCGATCACGAGCAATTTGAAAATTCAAGCCGGGCAATAACGTACCGTCAGGTCAAGTTGCACAGGACTTGTTGTGGCCACGGCCAGTCCAGCGTCCGGAATTCCTTCAGTGGTGTGCTCACGAGTGTGCATCCACCTCTTCAATTGATCGGTTTCTCCGTCTATCCGCAAACAAAAAGAAAAACCTTACCTCTCGCCGTGTCGACGAGACCAGTTCAGTTTAGTTTGCTCAGGACGAAAGTGATGGAGGCCAATCGTGCGTCCAGATGTTTATGTTGCCAGCTAGTTTCCTTGGTCTCCAACACTGCTCGTCAAACGTTAGTTCAGCTTTTTTCTGAAAGCCAGAATTTTTAGGTGTGGAATCACATCCACTAGATATGTAATGAAATACATAAATATAGGAACAAACTCATTTTGTTCCTATATTGTCTCCCAAGTGGCCAGCTCCGAGAATACCACGTCCCAGCACCAATCCAAGGCCTTTTAAAGGTCACAACTGTTGAGCAGCCTATGATATTCTCCGGCAAACTATTCCTCAAAGGCACCACCCGGTTCGTGAAGAACCTGGCCCTTAACTCCAACCTGAAGTGCTCCATTTGCAGCTTAAGACTATGACCTCTAGTGCCACACTCTGGTGTAGGAACGAAGAGGCTGCTAAGATCCATGCCAGACAACCCCTTAACTATCTTGAAGGCTTCCATCAAGTCGCCTATGGTCCTTCGGCGTGGCAACGAGAAAAGATTCAGGTCCTTCAGACGCTGCGAGTAGCTCTTCTCTATCTGTCCAGTGACCATTCTGGTTGCCAGTCGTTGCACCCTCTCTAAACACTCCATGTCTTTGCGATAGTATGGGGTCCAAGCTTGCACACATTATTCCAGCAGTGGACGCACCATTGCCTTGTACATCGGAACGAACACTTCTGGCTTCCTNGACCGGAAAATCTTTGTGACAATTATTCCTAGGTCCTTGACCTCCGTCGTGCCTCGTAGGGCTGCGTCCCCGGTTGAGTCTACATTGGTAGTCAGTGGCCAACATTTGGCAAGATTCAGGGGTAAATCCCATCGAGCCGACCAGCTGCGAACTGCATCTAGGTCCTGGAATAAGTTCTCACCCGCTATCTTCACATCGTCCGAAAAGATGCAGCAGTGGTTGTGCAATTCTAGCGTGAGATCTCTGATGAAAAGGAGGAAAAGAACGGGCCCAAAAACAGCGCCCTGGGACACCCCGCTTGTAACCCTCTCCGATCGCAAGATGTAACCGCCAATCCCTACAGCGAAGGTACAGTTGTTGAGAAATTGCTTCAACCACTGACGCACTGACCCGACTATTCCAAGCGTTGGTAGTTTCCTGTCAAGCAACGTAAGACTCACCGAGTCAAAGGCCTTGCTGAAGTCTAAGTAACATACCTTCACTATCCTACCCTGACCTAATCGACGTGTAGTCTCGTCAAGAAACATAAGTAGATTGGTTAAGCACGACTTATCTCTGGTAATCCTGTGCTGTGCAGAAGATAGAAGTCCATGAGACACCAGGCGCGCACATACTTATTTTCTTACTATTCGTTTGAGGCACTTGCACAGAATTGACGTCAAACTGACCGGCATGTAGTTTTACGCCTTCTGTCTAGTCTTGAAGTCTCGAATTTTTCAAGTAGTACTCGGGTTCGAGGCTTGCACTCAATATACCCGGTTCCGGATTTGTCTTCATTTCTGCAGTTCCGTTCACGAGCTGAAAGGGATGATGACGGGAATGGGAGCTGGCTCCGATATGGTGCCACTGGGTTAAGGGTGCATGCATCGGGAAAAGAAAGAAAATCTAGAAGAAATGGAGGATGTGAGGGAATAGTAACTGGGATAAGCAGGATATCGTGAGTGTCCTTCAGAAGATGGATGCCAATTAGATCAGGAGATGGTAAGCCCTAGGTCTGAGTCTAGCTGGGTTTTGAAGACCCTTTTGGAGGAGGAGTTCACAATCTCTAGTGGAAGTTGGTTCCATTCTGAGATGACCCTGTACGTGAAAAAGTTGGAACAGATGAAGGTTTGGGGCCGATGTTTGAAGAGTTTTCTTGGTTGTCCCCTTAAGTGTTCTAGGCTAGAGCGAGTGAAGAAACAGTCAACTTGGCCTGACGTGAAGAGGTCATGTAG